GGTTTCTTCAATAATGTTGAGGTCTGGACTTGGAGCCCAATCCATGACTGATAGTTTTCCACTGTTTTTCTGTCCTGGTATGCTTTTACTGCATTGGCAGAAAATACAATTTTTGTCTTTCAAACTGTTATCTTTTGGGTTTTTTGTAGATTTGGGGAAAAAAAAAAGGGGGAACAAATGATATGTTTATTTTAAATGGGTTCTTTGCCAGGTTGCCTGTTATTTGTTGACACAACACTGGTTCATCCCTCGAGTTAGGAACTTTTCTTTCCACTTGAATGACTCATATATTAGTGTTAAGTAGCTTAACAAACACACACTTCTCAGAAATGATTAATTCTGGTTCTTTGGAAGCAACTTATAAAGAAATTGGACTTTTGCACAGCACTGTATAGAAATAAAGAATGTATACATACATAGGTCAGAATTATTTTCATATGTGAAGATCAATCAGCTATTCAGAGATGTTAAGGGAGAAACCCTCCATAGCTATAATAACATGTTTGCTTCTCTATTTTAAAATAAGAGTCTATGGGAGCCAGCCTGTATCTGACAATACTCAATCACAGCGAGAAGGTTCTCAAAGCTTTTATCTCATCATCTTCAACCTGCCTTCATCACTTCAAGGAGTCATCCTTTTAGGGTTTCTGTTTCACTCCTATGTTTGATTGACGTTTTCAAAAAAAAGTCTATGGGAGCCAGCCTCTAGTGGCCATTAGATTAACTGCAGTTCTCACCGTCTGTGTTTCACTGCTAACAAAAATAAAAAGACTGTGTGTGTGAGAGAGAGAGAGAAGATAATGGCCGAAATGAATTAGCAAACTAAATATTTTTTCCTGAAGTTTTGTGCACATCCTGTTTGGAGTTTGCAGAGGTGATTGGGAGGAGGAAGTTCCTTTCACTCATTAGCCAGATTGGATGTAAAGGGAAATCTTCCTCATTTCTGCAGCCTGAAAAAAAGCTTTGTTTTCTGTGGGTTTTTAACCCAGTCTTGGTGTTATTTAGATATTTGACCTGCTTATTTTCCACAGTGGGTTGTGAAGAACTGCTAAAAAATTATGTTCTGCACATTATCTGCAGTTTCACTCATGATTCACTTTATCCACTTTAGGAATATGAACTGTGCGTAGGCTGAAAGTCGGCCTTGTGTCTGACGTTTGGCTGCTTTTTTTTCCTTTGAAATTATCAGCTGTTAGTTGAGTCCTTATCACGTCATGTCTGCTCTTTTTTTCCTTTAACTTCGACCAGCTGTGATGATTTCTCGCCTCATGATGCTGCTCATGATCTCAAAGTCAAACGGACAGTTTGTTGTTACTGAGATCTACAAACTGGAGCCTGAACACAATGTCACATAATTAAGAGGCATCAGTACCATAATGAACAATCAACCTCGATTTTAGTTTTGACAGTTAACATCTGGCTGCCAATGACGCTCGATGGAGCTCGGCAGTTTAATTGACGGTATTTGACAATACCCAATCACAGCGAGAAGGTCCTCAAAGCTTTTATCTAATCTGCTTCAGCCTGCCTTCATCACGTCAAGGAGTCAGCCTTTTGGGGTTTATGCACTCGAGTGTACTTCATGTTTATACAGAAAGAATGGCCCCGCATTCATCACTGATTATCTTTAAAAAGGAGGAAAAGCAGTCAGATTTTCTTCCCCGGGCCTGGTGATGAACTCACCTCCTTCATATTTAGTTTATTCCACCTTTGACTTCTCCGTCATCCAAATGAACAACTGTGGATAAAAGTGCACATTTCTGTCCTGTTGGAGGTTGTTTTTAAGGATTTCTGATTGTGCAGGAACTTCATTTTTATCTTCAGCACAACCTCGGTATAAATCTTAAATGTTTATTTGTACTGAACTGAACAGCATTTCAATTGCTGCTTCTATTCTCGCTAAAAACTCGAGGCAGAGGATGTGTAAAGGAGGCACATTAGGACCGATGATGCACTGTAACATCGTCAATGTTTAACTGAACTAGTTGAGATGGCAAATAATGCCATAAATTTAAAATCTGTGAATGAATGAACACACAAATTCAACAGTCCAGCTGTTCAGCTCAAAGCAGACGCCTGATTCATTACAAAGAACATACTGAGCTTTTAACAAAAGGGAAAGAGGAACAAACAAGTACGCTGACGTTGGAAAGTAAATACAACAACCTGTTTCACTCCTATAGCTATATACACATAATCAGATTACCGGGCTATAAAAGAGTATTAGAGCTACATTACGAACAACACATTCTTGTTCTTTTTGATAAAGAAAAGTGAAAATGTGGAGATTAAAGTTCAACATAAGACATTTTGTAGATGTGTAGCAGCTGTGGCAGCTGTTTGACTTAAAAAACAACAAATTTAATCATGAAATTGCAACTTCAACACAGAACCACTTGGGACTGAAAACATTTCTATTTCTTTCTGAATACTGTCAGTGTTATCAGACATGTTTCCAGCTGCCTTTGACCCGTGATTGGACAGTTTCAGCAGTGCTCCATTAATCAGTAATCAGTTTAAGATATGGACTATACAAAGAAATCAGAGAGACACTTCAGTCTTTGTGGAAAATTTCCTGCACTTGCCTCCATCATTCCAAATATCTGCATATTTGTTTGAAATAAAATAAATGTTTGTGCATAAAATGTTTGGGTTGTGATATGTTAGGCTGACTTGGCCCAACAGAAGTAAATAAGTGTGAATTATAAAGTTCAGGCAGCTTAATATTTTGAACTGCGTGTATGTTTTGTCAACTAAATGG